GCCCACATTTTTCTCTCTCCACTGGCCTACTCTGTCAAGCTGAACAAATCTCAGACATCCAGTCGGAAGCTCCGCCTGAATTTTGTTCACACATCGGCTTTCTTTGCCGCACTTGACGCCGAAGATTTTTCAACGCACTCCAAGCATTGCAATGGTCCATCTTTGCACAGCACTGAGTTGGTTTATTTCTTGGCTTATTCGCGGGACTGTTCTCACCCATCTCACTTTCGAGACTGCAGCTCTCGAGAATGTTTCTCTCGCCGGCCATACTGTTCGGATGGGCACACTTACAACAGCCCACGTTTTGCTAGAAGATATCGCTCGAGCGTAATAATGTTTGACCGCGGAGTACTTAAGTCGACCATGGCTCGATCTTGTTGGTTGCTGCGGGGAATAGCCCTGGCATTGGGCTGGAGTATGCGTATATTTCCGTTTCGCACATCAGCGCAGTGGTTTGCCCTGAATACCGGGTCGCATTCGCCACGATCTTGCGATGATCTCGAAATATCTCCCGATGTCCGTGCACGAGTGGGCGTGAGTGAAGGATTTTGAAAGGCATTTTATCCGCGAGAATGTTGCTCGTGTTTTGTGACGCGAGGACGGTTGCAACAAGTTCAAATCTCTCCTCTTCAATGTAGAATATTGATTCCGCCGCACAATCATTTTTGTCCATCAGGAAAGTCCTTCGAAAAACATTAGTCTATCGGGGCTTGCCGGAAATATTTTCCTGCTTGCTCGATGCGTCGTCATTTTGCTTCAGGAGGAAATGCTTTGTCCGTTATCGTTTTCGGGCTGCTGCTGACTGCAGATCATAATTTTCCGCTTGCCTACTTCGCCATAATCCCGATCGGAACACTTTCTGTGCTCTTTGCCGGCAGGGTTGAAGATGGCACCGACGTGGATCGATTTTTGGATGGTAGCTGTGGGTTTGAAGATGCATTGGCGCTGCTGGTGGCGGAGATTATGCTATTTTCCGTATACCTGCTTCGCCATAGTTCCGATCGGGATATCTTCCTTCTCTCTCTTCGGCAGCTACCTGCGAGCAGGTGAGAGCGACACTCACGATTTAGGGGGCACCGCTTCTAGGACCGGAAGAATTATTGAAATGCAGAGGAGCCTGCTAGAACCGGCTCATTGAAGTATTCGCCTTATGGTGTTCCTACGAAGGCCTTTTATGCTTTGTCCCGCCTTAGGTTTTGCGAAATACCTCAGCGTGTGCATGAATGCATATGCCCACCGAAGGTTTGAGCGAAAGGTTCCAAAAGCCAGGAATAAATTCGTGATGACACACGGATCCACCGTATTCTTGTCCCCCTGTCTGGAATTTTTCGCTTCGTTCGCCATATCATCCGCCGAGTTATTGCGGTGAACCTACCCCTGTCCGTACCGTATTGCACTTCTGCTACCGTGACTCAGTCCCATCTTCGAGATCTGGGAAACCTTGCTCGACCTGCAGGAGCATGTAGGCGCTGAACTTCGGCGGGGACCAACACCAACTTATGATGATCTTGTCGGAGCACCATGAACACTTCTTTGACGTGCTTGTTGTGGATGGGCTATTAGAGGAAGTGTCTGGCCGTGTGGCGACAAATTGCTTCAGGCTTGAAAACGTTTCGAGACCCTTCTTCAAACAGAAACATGTCAAAAATATGGTATTGTTGAAGATTGCAGAATTGAAAAGAGTTTTGTGTTACGCAATCTTCTCGATCGTCTTGTGCTGGAGCGGGAAAAAATCGAGCCAGAACCACCGCATCGACTGCGCGTATGCTCGACGTGCCTCACCGACCTCACGAAAAATGTGAGCCCCGAAGGCCGCCAAAGCCTCGTCCAGCGAAATGAGTCCCAGGGTTACGGACTTCTTCTTCCAGCGTCTAGAACGGGTGTCGCTCTTCTTGTTGCTGTTGATGTCACTCCTGTTCCTGGCCGCATCACAAGCAGCGATGATGGCACTTCAATAAGATTGCTCGCAGGGGCCGAGGTAGGGGGCCGGGATGAGAAGGATGTAGCCGAGCCGCACTCGGCAAAGTTCCGGAGGTCTAAGCCACGTTCCTGGATTGGCATGGAAGAGTGGATATGGGCGAGATTTAGGTCCTGGGAAGTACCCCCCCTCGCTTCTTACTTGAAAACTCAACGCGCGTCCTCCTTTTCACCCGCGAATTTCGAAGGACTTGACAATACTTAAAATCGCCGAGGGTAGGTCAATTTGTGTCAGTTTTAGTTTTACGACAAGGTGAGCTGGGCTCGGAATATCGGGGTCCAAATCCAATCCGCATTGTTGCCATGACCCAGGCATGGTGCACCCAGAATTGGTAGCAGATAAGGGCGTTCGCTCGAAGGGCATTTCTCGTTCGACCCTCGGCATCCCCCGATACTGTCCTGCAGGGAGAAACATTGATGTATGCCACTACTTCGCCAATCCAACGATACGCAACTGAATCACCTATACAACAGGCAATCCTGATGATCGAGAAAAAATCACATTTTGAGAAAAAAAAAAATTGGGCGGCACTTTCAAAATGGCCGATACATTTATTGACCGGCCTGGTAGATTTAGATTTACGGTAGACGACGCATCGGTGTTCCAGTACTTCGCACGCACTATACGACAACGACAACAGGTCTGCGGTGGCATCCTGCACTATATATATGTCGTCTATCCCACGTACGTAAGCGGTTGCTTGAGACTTCAGCTCCGGGAGTCCCTTTCGCGGCACAGACCGGCCTTAATAATTGGAGACAACAGAAAAAAAACACCCCGACACATACTGCGAATAGCTGCAGCTTCTTGTTGTGCATTTTTGCGTTTTATTATTACAAGGTTATGTGTGTAGCATACATCCCTGTTGTCCGAGGTTGGGTATTGTTAGTATGTTCTAGTCGGGACCGCGGATTTTGGCGATGGACACCAGACGGTACCTTCGTCCTTTTTCTGCTGCTGCTATGCTTCACGGTTACGACCAGCGGCGACACACAGCAGCAGCAGTGCTGCTGCAGAGGCCTCATGACCTTGCGTGATGATAGCAGTTGCGCCCTTGATGCTGTATTTGGGTGTGCGTAGCGCGAGGGTGACGTGTGCTGTCAACTTGTTCCGATGCGCATCATCATGTGGAAATTCAAAAAGAATGAATGGCGGCTCTGTTCTATATTCAAGATGTAGCACTCGGGATTTATGGGGTCGGATCCGACCCGATGCAACCCTAGCGCTACATCTTGAAATTAGACCAGACCCACTCGCCGAACATGTCGAGGGTCTGATCCGCACCCTGGAATGTTACGGACATACTTGTCAGTGCGTTGGGTTTTGGACAAATCCTTGGTGGCAAGTAACTACAGCGATATGTTTTGGCAGGAATCCAAATCCGGGCCATTTCCCGTTTGAGAATTATCAGCGTTATCTACCAGAAAAAATCTGTTCAACAGCATACAGTTAGCACTCGCAATTAAGAAAACTTTTAAAAGAACACTTTTTCACGAAAAAAAAAAATAGGGTCAACAAACATAGCTCACTTCGGGCCTCCCGATGATACATGTCTCAATAAGAAACAGCGGCGACCGCTGCCCTACTACATAAGAAACAAGGGGTTACGGGGGAGTGTGTCGAATAAGAAACATCCCACAGCTCCTCCTATCTCTCGCTCTTTCCACCCTCTCCCACTACGCCCCCCCGCTTCCCATGGTGCACTACTAGTTGTACGACGAGGGGGGAGTGTCTTTTTTTTTGCGGCGCCTCTGGCCCCCTGCCGGCTCTGGCGCTCTCTGACGCTCCGGCTCTGGCACAGCACACCAGACAGGCTGCGAACAACGATATGCTGTCTGCTGTACCGTGTTGATGGTGCTCTCCGCCAGCTCGCTCTGTGTCCAGCCGTCGGTAGTGAGAATCGGGTTTGAGTACGGGAGGCGACGAAAGCAGTGCAAATCATTTGTATTTTTTGAACGTTGTGAAGCAGGGAGAAAAAGAAATGTTTCAACAGCAAGCCGACGAATATTATCGTCGGCGTGCTAGTCCCAAGCTCGCTTTTTTTTTCCTTTCTTGCGTGATGCCCGACACACACGTTATTCGCCAACGAAGAAAAACAACAACACACGTTCCACTTGAGAAAAGAACGGAGAGTCACGCGGCAGGGAGGGGCGGGGCCCCGCAGTCAGCAACTGACGCAAACGGAAAGAAAGATAGTGTACACGAGCTACGTATGGATGTATATCTATTTTTAGCGTGCACTGCCGCCCTCAGCGGTCTGTGGTGTTGAAGCTGGGAACAATGTTATCCCAGGAACAGCAGATGAAGAAAAGGACCATGTATTACCTATCCGACATGCAAGCCCCTCAGGCAAGCTGGTATCCGACAAGGCCCTCAGGCAAGTGCCTGGAGCACACCGCCGTGTGCTCACCTGGGGGGGGCGCGCTTGGACCCCAACCGCATACATACCCATCACACCCATATTTCCCATACGCGTATCCCCCACAGAGGATGTACAGGTCGGGCTCATATCCAAGTACCACAAACAGTCCCCCTACTTGATACGATGTATGATCTTGCGACCCTTCACGCGCAATTAGCCAACACAGAAAAACACCGCTTGAGAAAACCTATTCAACAAAACTGGCTACGCATTCAACACAAAGCGTCTCCATCAGTTTATTAACGAACCCAACGCGTTTGTCCCTGGAAAAAATCTCAAGCCGTTGACACAAAAGAATCATCCTCAGAAAAGTACCCAATAATTATTTGCACTACATCAGAAAGGCGTCGGAACGAAAACGGACATTTCTGGAAACATAAGAGTTGGCACCAAATCCTCAAACAAAACAAAAACTCAACTTCTTGACCACTCAAAACGAGAATTCGGAAAGCACAACGGACCCAACCATTAATCGCCAAAACATGTCAAATCCTTCCTGCAATAAAGTGTCCAAGGACCAAATCCTAAACAGCGCGCACCCGCTAATCTGTACCGTCGCTGTTGTCCAAGAAATGAAAAAAAATATAAGCAAGCATCTACGCGAACAGCCCCCCTGCTGTCAGCTCCAAAAATTCACCCCGAGCTAATATCTCGATGCCAACAGCCCCCCTGCTTTGCCGTTCACCAACACACAATTAGGCAAGACCAGAACCAAACCAATTCGATTGCTGCTCATGCCCTCTAGAATCATGGTCATACATGACATCCCCCCCCATGGTTTTCGATGCAAGAGCAGCAAAACATGCGATGCCAACCAGAAACATGAAAACACGGAACACACAAGGCATCAAACTCCAGAAAAAGTTCGTACCGTATGCAAAGTGCCTCCTCAACTGGAGCTCCAAAAGCCCCCCTGCTCCCTGAGCGGTATGCCTTCACGCATGTCAAACAACGCGGTATCATTCCATTTCGTTCGCGCGGCCAGAAACACACCGCGGAGAGCGACCATTCTTAACTCACAACCTAACATAAGAACCAAAGTATCGAAAAATCCTATGTGCTGAAGTGTCCAGTTCGCAGAAAAAAACGCGACTGACGCACTCCCTCCAAAGAATACGGAAATCATATAAGGTATTCAGCTGCAAGGTTAAAGGCGACTGGAAACATAACAAGAATCAAGGAAAAAATGTATATATGCCCACGTGCTGCTTCCTATTCCACAGGTTGTGGCAATGCTCATCTTGTCGCAGCGTACAATTATCATGAAAACAAGTACAAAAAAAAAGAAACACTACGCGCACGCCGTGGCACACACGTGTTTTCTGGATCAAAGTGCACGGTTCGCTAACAAGGGAAAAACAGAACTAAAAAAAAAAGGCGAAGCCAAATGGCGAAGCTAAAACGTCCATGCCCGCTCACAAAACCGCACAAACTTGCCAACGTTTCACATGTTCTCCCACTTGGCTGTAACAACGTGAGGTCGTCGCTGTCACCGTGTCCTACCCGTTCCCGGTCGACTCGAGGGCGCCACTGCTGCTGCCGCCGCTGCCATCGCCGCCGTTGCACTTCCCCCGCCGCCACAACTGTCATGAGTTCCAGCGCCAACACGGCTGCCGGTGACGTCGCTGCTGCCGCCTCTACCCCCGCCGCCGTTGTCGCCGCTGCCGCCGACGGGGCTCTGGCCGAAGCCGCCGCTGCCGTCTGCTGCTGCCGTCCGAGCTCTGGCCGAAGCCACCACTCCCGTCGCTGCTCCTGCTGCCGCCGGTGTCGCCGCAGGAGCTCTGGCCGAAGCCGCCACTCCCGTCGCTACTGCGGCCGCCGTCGTTGCCGCCGCCAGAGCTTCCACTCCCGTTCCTGCCCCTATCGAAGGACGCCACCCCANGCCGCCGACGGGGCTCTGGCCGAAGCCGCCGCTGCCGTCTGCTGCTGCCGTCCGAGCTCTGGCCGAAGCCACCACTCCCGTCGCTGCTCCTGCTGCCGCCGGTGTCGCCGCAGGAGCTCTGGCCGAAGCCGCCACTCCCGTCGCTACTGCGGCCGCCGTCGTTGCCGCCGCCAGAGCTTCCACTCCCGTTCCTGCCCCTATCGAAGGACGCCACCCCAGGTACCGCCCCCCGTCTCCTCGCGCCACGCGAAGATGTCTTACCGGGGTCGAACGGGTGCGTCCGGGCTCTACTCAAAGTTTTATCTAAGCCCTCATCCCCGCTCCCATCACCACCGCTTTCCTCGCTTCTGCTGCTGCTGCTGCTGCTGCTGCTGCTGCTGCTGCTCACTTCCTCCTCAGTCTTCCCGGGGTCGAAAGGGTGCGTCGGGGCTCCACTCCAGATTTTATCCAACCCCTCGTCCCCGCGCCCATCGCCGCCGCTGTCCTCGCCACTGCTGCTACAGCTGCTGCTGCTTCTGCTGCTGCTCACGTCCCCCTCAGCCTTCCCGGGGCCGAAAGGGTGCGTCGGGGCTCCATTCCAGATTTCATCCAACTCCTCGTTCCCTCTCTCGTCGCCGCCGCTGTCCTTGCTGCTGCTGCTGCTGCTGCTACTGCTGCTGCTACGGCTGCTGCTGCTGCTGTTGCTCACGTTCCCCCCAACCCGTTGGCTATGAAGCTCCTCCAAGACTGGCAATGGCGTGGTTGTCGCACCAACCGCTTACTCCAACTCTTTGTCACATACCTCCGTCACCGGTGCCGCCGCCGCCACCCCTGCGGCTGTCTGGACACTCGACGCCAACGCGGCGACCGGGGATGCCGCTGCTGCTGTCGCCGCTGTCGTTACCCCCGTCACCGATGTCGACGCCGTCGCCGCTGCGGCCGTCTGGACATCCAACGCCAATGCGGCGACCGCAGACGCCGCAGCTGCTGCTGCCGCTGCTGTTCCCCCGGCACCGATGCCGCCACCGCCGATGCTGCTGTCGGGGACGGCGCTCTGGCCGTCGCACCGCCGCCACTCCTTCCGATGCCAGCGCGGCGACCGGGGACAACGCTGCTGCTCCTGCTGCTGCCGTTCCCCTCCCCGCCGCCGCCGCCGCCATCGTCGCTGCGTCCGTCTGAGTGCCCGGCGCCAACGCGGCGACCGAGGACGACGCTGCTGCTGCCTCTGCTGTCGTTCCCCCCGCCATCGATACCGCCGCCGCCGCCACTGCTTCCGGTGGTATTGCTGCCGTCGACGGGGTTCTGGCCGGAGCTGTCCGCACTGCCGCCGGCGCGCCTCCGGCTGCTGTCGTGATCGCCGGTGTGGCTCTGGCCGAAGCCGTCCGCACTGCCGCCGGCGCTCCTGCAGCTGTCGTCGTCGCCGCCGCCGGTGCTCTTACTTCTGCCGCTGCCGCGAGGATCGAAGGCGCCGGTGCCTCTGTCGCCGCCGCCGCCGGTGCAGAAACGGCACCCCTGTTTGTGCGTGGGCACGAGACCGACGAACGGCTGGCGGCGGTAACCCCAAACAACCCCGCGGCGCCGGCGGGGAAAATGACCTTGTAGCAGTCGTGGGAGACGAAGTCGCCAGGGTTGAGGTAAAAACACCGACCGCCCTTCGGCGCGATCTTGGCGGAGACACGCGCGTTGTCGATACCCGGCATGAGGAAGGGCAGAGGATGAAATAGAAGGGGCTTCCCGTGGAGCATCTCGTGCGGGCACAGCATGTCGGCCTTCCCGTCGAGTCGCGGCTGTGTGTTTATGCAGGCCGACATCCAGCTCCATGGCCTCCGGCCTCATGCGTTCATAGTTGCAGGCTGGCCAAGGAAACTGGAAGGCGGGGAAGGGCAAGAAAGCCTCCTTGAACGCCGCCCTCCCGCCCTCCCACAAGAGCCCAATCCAACGCTCCACCCTGCAGTTACGCTTCTTCCCTCCGTCCGGGGATGTCAGCTCGCGAGTGATGCCGAACTCCAGAAGCAAGTCGCTCATCGACGCATTGACCGGCCATTCCGTCCGAAGACACTGGAAGTCGCCGCGGGCGGCCCGCAGAGGGTGAAGCGAAACGAGTACCTCGTGGCGTGCTTTATCACGGTGCTGGCGTGCTTGTCTGGCAGATGTTTGATTATGCCGTAGTTGCTGCAATCATCGACCAAGACGAGGCCGTAGGTGTTACCACCGGCGGATGGCGGAAGCGGGCCCCTGAGGTCGGCGAAGAGGCGCTGAAGAGGTCGCAAGGCCGTGGAGGGCGTCGTCGTCGAGATCGCCTTGCGGATGCCGGTGCTACTGCCTCCGATACCGCCACCGCTGCTGTCACCCACGCTCCTCCGTAGCTCCGCATTCTCGGCTGCCTCTTTCTTCACTTCTTCTTCCAACTCCTCCCTCTTTCCGTCATCGCTGAACGAACACCTGGCCTAGCTAGGTTCCATATCGATATATCGTGTTAGTGTGCACTGCCGCCCTCAGCGGTCTGTGGTGTTGAGACTGGGTACGATGTTATCCCAGGAACCCCCGCAGCCATCTCAGGAGGTGCTGCGAGGATATGATGGAAGAGGTCCTAAGTAAGCGACCCGAATCACCACGGCGTCAGAATAAGTCGAACACCGACGCCACCCGACCGGCAACGGTGGCGTTGAACGAATAAATCACACACATGATGGCACCAATGCTTTCCGTGGTTGCCATCGAACGACAAGACGATATTGTCGTTCACCTGCCCCATGTTGAAATGGCCTGCACATGTGTCCGGCAGTAATGCCACTGGAATCAGGCCGGACTTAAAGACACATGAACAGACAGGCTTCCCCACCTCCCAATACCCTAAGTTTACCACATCTGTGCTCCCTCACGGCAACGAAACGTTAGCACGCGACCAGCTGGAATTCTGAAACTTCGCCGTGGACCGCCAACGTAGATCCTGCGAACCTGTACACCAAGCCAACATTTACTTTGAAATGTAAAATCCGGGCTGCAAACGATGTCCGATTCGGCGCGAACATGGACGGACGGAGACATCTGCACTGAGATGTCGAAATGTGCACAGTTGATCACTGTATTTCTCCTTACCGTGAATACGAGAAAACGCCGGGTGGGAGAGAAGGTTTTCCTTACACCGCCCACCCACCCTGCTGCTAGAGTGTGATGAAGTAGTCTCTTTTCTCCTAGGACCATTACATACTCATGGCCACGCCGACCACAGTTTGCACGGCAGTGCATCAGTGGAACCGCAGGCCTCAGAGCTGGAGCCCTTGCCCAAAACTCGAATTCCTCTAAGAGACCGATACGGTCTCTAGAGGTCTCACAGAAGGGTAAAAAGTAATGTGAATGAATGAATGATCACTTTCACTCCGAACGTCCGAACCACGCACGTTACTGAGAAAGTTGCAGCTTGATTGGTGCCTTCTGCGTTGACGGTTGGCTGTGTCGGTGACCGGCACTCTCAAGCACGAAACACGAGCATGCAGCATGTGTTGCCGACATCAAAGTGCTCCGATCTCGATCGCTTTGTGCGTAGACGTTACCTTTCCTCCACCAAATTGAAGCCCAGTCCAATCTACACCTCGATTGACAAGTCCTTCGACGGTGGAATAGCTGTGTGCCTACCAATTTGCCGGCCAACTAGAGGTTCCGGCCACGCCGCTGCAACCTCCCAACGAGGAAGTATAATCCCCGCGCAACGACGGTTTCAATTTTTTTTACGCGCGCGCGTGAAATGTTGCCGAACAAATACATCACCAATCCATCGTAGTTTATCCTGATCTCGGCACGTGTGCCCCGCCATAGACTATTCGCCGCGTTCGAGAGAATAATTGTTTGTTCTTGTATATTTGCGGGAGCACAGGGGGATGGAAGCAGCGATTTGTGCAGGCGTGCTTGTGTATCTCTCTCCCCGAACAGTCTTGCACTCTGGATACGTGCGAAGACATCGAATACACGCGATCAATCAATCCAAGGCATGCAAGCTGTCACTTCTGTTCCTCTGCTGTTTGTAACCTCTTGTTCCACGGCATTGCGCACGCCCGCACACCAACAACTTGACAACTTGATGATTGATGATTCTTCTCTCGGTTCTCGTCGGAACACGGTCATCCATGCATCCATTGTACAGTAACTCCAATCTCGACCAATTCACGCGTGCGTAAGTTGACTCCCTCCCCGCGATTACCCTGCCAACGACAGGGTCGCGGAAACTTTTTCGCCGCAAAACGACGGTTTCAAATTATTGTACGGGCGCGCGCAACATGTAGTGGATGCCGTTCTCGTCGGAACGACAGGTCACGTGTGTGTGCCCCGCGATTGACTGTTCGCCGCGTTTCGAAGGAAACATAATTGTTCTTGTGCACACATACGCGCGCGCACAGAGGGATGGAAACAGCGACATGTGCAGGTATTCTCGTGTATCTCTGGATACGCGCGAAGACATGTTATTTACACGCGATCCCTCAGTCAACGCATGCGGGTTGCAACAGCTGTTGTTCGCCAATTTTTCGTATCAACCCAATTCGCGTCGTTTTGCGCGCAGCACAGAAAATCTTATGCTGACTTGCCGCTTTCTTCTTGCCCTGAACCGTCGTCGCAAGGATGCAACAAGATTTATTACCCTACATTTTGTGCGAATCTTCATCTCTTCACTGCCCTCTAAACCACCATAAAACAAAAACGAGAATCTCTTAGAGGACCAGCACGGTTGCCAGAAGCAAGCTGCGATGCCAAGAGCGAAAATACAACAGGAATGCCCCAACTGAGCTATCACTAACCGCGCTCAGCAAAATACGGGTCTGCAACAGAACAAGTCGGGTTGGAAAGGTCAAATAACTCTGGTCGAGGCAGGTAGTTCCACGCAAGTCAAGCTTTGAAGTTGTTTTCGTGCCCACTGTTGAGTGCCATGCCCTATCGCCACTTTCCCCGTCACCCATTATCTACTCTGCACCTTCACCTGTATCACATTCTTGCCGGCAGGCCCGTCGAGGGACAGGGCGTCGATCCCTCACTCGAGTGCATAAATTCATTTTGAGGATCAAGCTTCAGCCAACTTGCCCGCCCAAACAGATCACGGCACCATCAATCCGGACCCACACCACCTACAGCGGATCAGTCCGCTTGGAAAGGGCACTTCCAAAAAAAAAGACCTGACTCATTTGCAGCACGGTTCACACCACGATGCTTCCAACGCCAACAGAAAATCGGAGCTTCCTCACCAGCGTCGAACGAGAGAAGCCAGTATGGCTTCCTTGAAAAAGGAAAAGCGAAACTGCTTCAGGTGCCACCGTGACATCACCAGCAGCACAAATGTCAATTAAACAGGCTGCGTTAACACTCATCTTCCATGTACTGGAGGCACGACAACAGTGCGCGTGCTCCCTCCGGCCCCGTCGGCCCTCGCGTACATGATCTCGACCTGACGTTGTTTCGCCGCCTTTCGCGTTGATCGCATCGCCCCATGTTTACAAAACTTACGTTCACACTGGGCCCGAGACCCCAGTCACCATACTCCTGCCCAAAAACGATCCCAAATACACATGTTAGTACACCTATTTCGCGTAACCCCTTACCTCCTTGCCCAGGGTGTACAGCCCCACGAAACCAAAGGCGAAATGCATCATCGTGCTACATGCACTCAAGCGCCAGGCACGAGAAAGACACTACTTTGCCAAGACTGGCCGGACGTGCACACCATGGCAACAACGTTTGTGAAAAATCCCTTTGCCAAGCGGTTCATGTACCCAGCGCGTACATACGTGCCGGGGTCAATCAGAATGGATCAAACGACCACTTTTCGGAACGGTACGAGATCACAAATGCAGCAGCGTCTTAGTGCTACTCCTACCGCTACGCATGCCGCACATTGACCATTTCTCGCTTGCCTGGACTTTCCTCAATCGAGCCACCCGATAACTGCAAGAATGGCTCACGTTGATACCGCAAGCACCATCTCCAAGAGGCAGTTCTGGGGCTTCACAGAAGATCAACCTACTTGAAAATCGTGAAATATCCAGTCATCATCAGTATCTGACTACGACAAGACGGAATTACTATCACGGTGTGATGGCGCGGAAGCGGCAAAGAAGAGATAGGCTTGGTTGCTAAGTTGATCCCCAGACAGACAAACACAAAACGTATTGAAGTACTGAAGGGAGACTTTGCCATGGCCTGCATAGGCTTGGACGGTCTAGATTCACCCTGTGCACAACGTCGGCCATGATTGTGTGGAGAAGGGTGGCCGCCTCCAACGCGTGTCGATCTGACTACGGTGCAACCTTCATTGAGGGTCGCTAGCTCAGCAAAATTCAACGCGTTCTCACCCGCCATCACTTTGGTGCGACGGGCATCAAATGCGTTTGATCAAAATGAAGTACCTCTGACGTTAAAACTTTGTCGCACCCCCTCTTCTCGCCCCTCCTCTTGCTCCTGCTCCTCCTCGTGCTCATCCTCTTCCTTCTCCAGCTCCTCCTCCTTAACCTGGATGCCATCGATCCCAGGATTGGTGTGAACGTCATCCAACACAACACGGTCATCGCATGGGGGCGCTACCACATAAATGAAACAACAAATTGCCAATCTACTCCACGCTGGCGGTGAGGGGAACAATAATTTCTACCTCATTGTACAAGTCAAGTCTCGAAACGCCTCGAGAATGACAAACGCTATTCCGGCCGGGCGTTGCCTCCAACCGGGCTCGACAGCCCATCGTTTGCAGCTGCACGCGAGGCTCACCTTGGCTGTCACAGCA